TTTGTGCACACAGTAGGATGTAATCAATCGAAGCCACGGCGCAACACTACTATGATCGAAACTATCGGCCAATGTAAAATATATGCCCGGCAGTTGTGTGACCGCAATCGATTAATCGTTAATTAATTAATCATTACCATTTCGATCACGCACGGTATAACGCGTGAGATAACCGTCGTTGCTAACGGCTTTGCGCCTCCTATAAACGGAATTCGATCAGTTTTTGCAAATTTTGACTAAATTTAATATTACAAATACAGTATCAATTTGCTTAAAAGAATATTATTATTACGGTTAAATAATTAATTCTGTCGATTAATTTTGATTAACAATATATTTCTAACAGTAAAACAAAATATATAATTATTATGAATACTTTGACAATACAGCGGAATGCATATGAGAATGAATTTAATGTTACTTCCATCAGACTAATACGGTTAGTATTATAATACTAACCGTATTAGTCTGATGGAAGTAACGTTAAATTCATTCTCATATGCATTCCGCTGTATTGTCGATATATTCATAACAATTATTAATACTTATTACGATTGAAACATACATTCAAAGGTTAGCACAGGTCACTTGCTCATACAATACGCATCAATTATATTTAACGAAATACTAATAAAATTGCTCGCTTCATTACAATTAATAAATTTATACTCCAGTAAAATTATATTTTGTCTCAGAAATAATAGTTTTGTAATCGATCTTGTAAGAAAAGGTCAAGTAGAACATTCTCGATTGCCACTGATGAAACTGCATGCTGCACAATATTCAGCTTTTATTTTAATAAGGTAGAGTAATTAATACCTTATCTACAATAATTTATAAATACATTTCCGGGAAATCATTTTACAGTGGAAATTACGCTATTACGTTTTATGAACTGTACCATTCTTTCATTAGCCGTAAGTTGGACGGCAGTCTTCTATCAAAGAAAAAGTTAATGTACCTATTCATTTAGCTCTGCGAATGCCAATATTCTCTTCGCGCGGTCTCGTTAATATTATTAAAATAAGAAAAAATAAAGTAACAATTGTCCGGACCATCACTAAGCTTACTATATTACACAAAGCAATTTACATAATCGGTACTTGTTAGTCTTCTATAAATATGTATTAAATAAAAAAATCTACTCCAAAAGTTTGGAACGAAAACAATTAATTTAATCTAATAAAACGAAATATTAATAAAACAATGAAGGAGATCCTATAATCGTTAAAAAAAGTAGTAATGGAATATGATCTTTCGTTAATTTTGCATAATAGTTTAGTTCAGATGTTACTTTGTGTACTTGGATATATTTTTCATTTTCTTGCATGAGAACAATATCGATCGCGTCGATCACTGTTTAGGCAGTGTTTTTGACCTGATGATGAAAAACGTCGTTGCGTTTACATAATTTGAACAAAGTGCAGCCACCATGGAGCGAAACGCACAGGGCCAAAGCGAGCGCAAATCCGATGGAGTTAACGTGTACGAGGAGTTTTAACGTCGTTTTCCGGCTAGCCGCGTCAACCCGCGGTTAACGTACCGCGCAATTTGGAGCAACGTATTACCCTTAAGTACAAGCACGCGGAACACTCCCGGCGACAACATTTGCGCGATTTTAATGAAACTAACGCATCGAAATTATTGTCGGGATTGCGGACGAGTTGCTCTTCATTTAAGCGGTACTTGCCGCCCGTTAGAGATATTTCGAGAATCTATAGTTTGTAATATCTTCACATATAATGGGGATAATTATAAATGCTGAAATGTAAAATACATATTTGCTTTAAGCTTCTCGTTAACATTATTTATGAACTTTAGATAATATTTTATAAATAATATTCATATCATTCATTTATAATATCGGGTTGTATGTTTGATATGTCTATCAAATAATTGCAATTACAGTTTATCAGAAAATCTTTAGACACAAACTGACCTTAGTACTCCGATTCTGTAACTTTTAATAATTTGATATCGTTATGTCGTTGCGCAGACATTGTATATGATAAAAAACTGCGCAACAATAACATAACGCTATCAAACGACAACATAACGATGTCGTTAAGAGTACAGAATTGAAGTACGGACATGCATTAGTGGCATAAAGAATTGTGTACGCCCAGATAAACACGATAAAGAGCATCACTTGACGACGAGATAGCTTCCCGTTAAATGATCGAATTATAGTACTAATTTTATAACATTATATATGTATAATTATATTATTAAAATTATATCAGTGATCATTACTAAATTTAACACATCCCATCTCTGGCAAAAATTTTTCTTATAATTTTTCATACAATATTTTTAAAAATTTCTACATAAATTTCAGAATTTTTTAAAATATTCATGTATGATTTTACATGATATATTTTATATTATGTAAATTTTTAGGAAATTTCTTAGGTTTTCGCACAACTATATCTATATTGGTTGCTAATTTAAATATATTATGGTATAATAACATAATTCAAAAGGTGTTTTACGTAAAATCGATAAGTGTACTCAAACATGCATGGAATGCATAGACTATCAATATTTGGCCGTTGACTGTATGAGCGTGGGTAACTGTATCGAAGGAGTTAATGAGGATGCAGAGCCAAGGCCTGCACAAAGGAATATTCATAAGCAGGCCGTTGTATCACAGTCATGCAATAAATGCTGAATTATCGGCGACATAGTGTGCCGGGCATACTGAACGCTCTCTCGGGCCGCAAACGCAGCAATATGGTGTTTAGGATGCGCTGCAAATGCGGAGGTAACCGTTTGGCGACGCGATATCCTGCTGTCGCATCTCAGGTCCGATTAATGTAGAGGGTTAACTTCAAGATAATTCTCCGTGCCTCTGTTGGCACGGTATTATTCCCACGGCAATGAGAAGTAAACGTGCAAACGTACCGCGCTATCCAGATACTGACGTTTATAGCTGTCTAGCTGTTTCGCTGTTGCATTGTCGCTCCCGGAAACGCTCCAACAAATATCTGTTAATCGATGTGTTGTGGATGATTGTTCCATGCAAGAAATGATGCTTTCCGACCTGCGCAATTTCCGAATGTCAGGGCGAATGGAATATTGGCATTATGAGTAATTAAACCAGTAAGAATTAAAACGACCGCACTAGTCTTAATATTTTTAGGGAGAAACAATTGAGGAATAAAACTTAGGAATTTCTTCTTCGTTCAAAGAAGATCTCTGTACAAAGAAGAAATCGTAAGAAGAAATTATAACTTTGTTGGCTAAGTCGTTTAAAAAAAGAAAGATCAGTAAATATCTCATATTTGACTGATTTATTTATCTTTTTTCTTAAATTTTAAAAATTATCCTTCTCAAGACAACTCCATTTCGGCCACAACGGTTGGTTAAACTTTACTTTTTTTGTATACGCTACGTGCTTAGCAATTGCAGCTTCAGCGCAACAGTCGCCATAAAGCCGGCGCGAATCCAATAAAGCCGTTGCCATGGTTAGAACATCGGTGGCTTAACGATTACGAAGTATCGGCTACGTGCTCTTAAGCTGGTGTAATGACGTTGCGACATTGCGGGGCGCCCAGTATCGTGGTTGCCATATATTATTCAGACGCATGGACCAGTTCGCGCGTCATGTAGCATGACCGTTACGGTGTCGCAAACACGATGTTGTACACCCGCCGCCCTCCACAACTCTTTTCATTTCTTTTTTAATTTGTTTTTTCGACACTAACATCGAAACTAACGAGAATTTCGTCGTCGAGTTAATCGACGACAGCAGCGTAATTTATTTCAAACGAGACATGTGGGCAAAAGACGTTCCCAAGCACTTATTTCCCAACTTCCGCGACACGCGTTCGTGACCGATGCAATCGAAACGGCATGAATCGCAATGCAATTGAAGGAGAAACTGATTGAACGAAACTATGTCTTCATCGTCGACGTCTACCGTAGTAATTGAATTTTTTGTACGACTCGTTTCTTTTAACTGTGGAAAAACTGGCGGAACCTAGTTATCAGCAGGAGATAAAAAATGTAATTTAGCGGATGAAACTTTTAGTGAGAGAACGTAATATTTTCTGAAACCCGTTTTCCGCTTTTTCCAAAAAAAGGCCGCGAGCTGACCGAATCATGGTTAACGGGCACAACGTAATTTAAAACATTCACTTTGCATGCGTCGCTCACTTTGGCAAGTCAAAATTGTGGATTCTCACGTGTACCATCGCGAAACAATCGGAAAAAATATACATTACACTGTTTCATTGTTAGCAAAAAATTCCAAATTCCGAATATATAATACATTTATGAACAATGGACACACATTTCTTTCTCTCTCTCTCTCTCTCTCTCTCTCTCTCTCTCTCTCTCTCTCTCTCCTTCACAAAAGAAGAATGATTAAAAGACTACATCAAAATTTTCTGAATAAAATAAAATATAAAAATTATTTCGTACGAGATTAGACAGAAGAAATTGTTCGTTTATTCTTTGCGAACAATTTAATCTTTATTCCAATCTCTTTCATACCCTTCACGTCTCTTTCAAGAATCTCTATACTATGAATAACGGCTTCCAAGACTTCCGCGTGCTTTAAATAAAAACTTTATGTTATAGCTTGGACTTTTACGCGCGCTCTCGAGGGTGATAAACGACGATAATCTCAATCCTTCTCGTTCAATACATATTAATTACTCACGGCAGGATGGACGGACAGCACAATTACCAAGGTTTCGCAACTTCGGCCTAAAAGGATTAGACCTATAATACCATTAATTACTCTCTTCGTAGAACGCACATTCAATAACGGTGTTAATTACATCACATTCACATGTCTGTGCAAGATGCTCAGACTAACATCACATGATTCATGACTCTTAATAAAAATTCAACGCGTAGCGTCGTACGCTACCGTTGCTTGTCTCCAGTTTACCGAGCTGAGAGGAATTTTCTATGTGGAAAAATAAAATAATAGCAAACTAAAACAAACACATTAATATAAAGGATATTATTTGACGCGTTTCGCAATTTAATCAGTTAATTTGTATTCTTTCGGCAATACAATCCTTCCAAGCGTTAGCTTCCTTTAATATCCTTATCGTTTCAGTTATAGATTCATCAATATGCATATCGCGTCGCAACGTTGCTAGGGAACGTAAATTGTTTGCAGACGACAATACGGAGGTAATTTCGCAAATTATGGCAATCGTGTCGTACTTTAAAGCTTTGAAATCAAATTCAGCATATTCGTCGACGAGTTTTCTTCCATGATACGCCTCAAATGCTATCCATACGTGTAAGCACTTCTCTGTAACGTTTCAAAGCATATAGTTTAAACTAAAGCCGTATATATCCACAACGATAGAGTACTCTGTGTCAACCTATCGAATAACCGCAACCATAATTGCACGGATCGCGTCTGGCGTTCGCAACCATCATATTTCCGATTTGCGACACTTAAACGATGCGTGCAATTCGCATAAATCGATCATGTCATGTTTGTTACCACTGCTATTCACAACGCGAACATAAGCTGGTAAACGCGATTAAAAAGCTCTCTCTCTCAGTTTTCTTTCTTGCGCCGAAAATATGTCCTCAATTGTTTGAAGTATATTTTCTTTGAAAACTTCGCGACATCTTTTGTAAAGAATGATTCTACAAGTGTTGTAACTTTCTTTTTAACGTGGATCTTTTAACCAACAAAATGTAACAAATGTATCATAAAATGTATTTATCCAACCAATAATTTAATATTATAGTTGTAAGGAAATCATAATTTTGAAATGTTATTGTGAAAAATTATCTTTACTACAATAAAATAATACGTTGATAATTATAAATATAGTTTTAGAAAAAAAATATATAGATATATATATATTGTTTATAACCAAGTATTTATATTGCTTGTAGTTGCTTTTTTATAAATAGTTTCGAAAATTATATTCATGATTATATACAGATTCTCTCTCTCTCTCTCTCTCTCTCTCTCTCTCTCTCTCTCTCTCACTCTCCTAGTAAAGATGCTTTTTTATGCAAAACGGTCAATATTATAATTTACAATTACAATATTAAATCGATGCGGTATTTGTATGATTATTATATTTGTATAATTTGTATAATTATCCTTACGGTAAAATTATTATATCATTTTCGAACAAGAATACATAAATATATATTGAAAAAACAAGAGTAAAAAAATTTTAATGAGAAAATTTAGAAACACACATTTCGTCTACTTTGATAGATCCACTGTAATTGAGGAAACTAAATTACATTTTCAAATCTTTGCCTATTTCGAATATTCGTAATATCGCTTGAGCGAACCCTTTTCTTCGATCTAGAAGCGCGCAAGGCCCTTTCTTCAAAGTGTAAGGAATTTACTAGTTTCAAAGCTTATGCTACAGTCTAGAACTGCGCCCGTCCTTAGGCAATGAAACTGAGTAACGGCCGCTCCCGAAATTACAACGTCAAAATTACTGGCCTAATATATCAGAACACGACTGACGTAATTAAGGAAATTGATGTTGCTCCGCCCTTGGTTGCTCGCAAAATACACCGGTTAAATTATGACGCCGCAAACTATGCGTGTGTCGGATGAACTTTGAGAAGTCTCACGATAAACAGTCTTGCTAATCCCAAAATATGTGATAAGAGGTTTTTTTAATCCTCATATATTACATGTAAGATGTAAGTGAAACGTAGCACAGAATTTACCCTTTTTCGTTGGAGAACTATCTTCAAATTTCAAAGTCTTACAATTTTGATCAAATAGTTGACAACGTTACATAATTTTAAGTAACGTTATGATGTGTGTGTAGATGCTTACAAGAGACATATATATATATATAGAAAACACCAGCAAGACTACTATTGTAGTTTTCTAACACTCGAATTTTATGAGTTTACATATAAAATATAACAATCTACATTTACGATGTAAATTAAATTTTACGTGTTTATATTGTATAAACCACCTATGGATCATTGTCGTTGCACTATACTGCATAAAACTTCTATCTCGCTTATTTTTATTTAACAATATCAAACTTAAAAATATTAACAATTATAAAACTTAATTATTTCTTCCTGCATTATATTATATTATTCAATTTATAATAATTTATTGGGTGGATCCATATATTCGTTCGCTTTTTGTTAGTAGTGCAAATTTTTTCCGAATATCTCCGGTTCTGGTTGCCTAATCGGGCAATCCAAATATGTTTTGGAAAGGTGACAGTCCGCTCTTTTCATCTGTCAAATTTGGTTTCATTGGCATTAGTTTTGTTTGTGCTATAGACCTGTGAACATGTCGGAGAATAAGGTGCATTTTCGGCACATTTTGCTTTATTACTTCAAGAAAGGCAAGCGAGCTGCGGAGGCCCACCGAAAGATATGCAGCGTATACGGGGAC